CAGTTTTCCTCCAATTAAAAAATAAGAAAAAAGAAGGAACAGAAATACGTCCTCAACCTTGATTGTTGAAAAGTTAAAGAACAGACAGGAGTTTGAAGGTAGAAGGGGAAAGAATAAGTAACTGTAGGGAAGCTAATGTCCTCATCTTTAGAAGTGCTTCAGAGAGAAAAAGAAACGAAAAAGAAAAAGAAATTAAATAGTATAGGTACTATTTAATGTTACAAATGTAAACAATAAAGGGATAAAAACTAGTCATATTTTATACTGAGCAGAAGCAGGAAGGGAAGTTAAAAGTGAGCTAAGTTAGGTTAGAAGATAAAGGTTAGGAGGATAAATCAATAAATAACAGCACACTACTAAGCATTTTGGACAAAAATTGTTCCAATAGGATTGCTCTTAAAGAGTGGTTAGGTTGGAAGGGGTCAGTTCTTTTCATTGAAAAAAATTTATTATTTGATAACTATCTATTAATGATAATTTTATTAAAGACTGAAAGTACACAACCCAATAAAATCCTTTTACAGTCATTTTACAGATGAGAAAATGTTGGGTGAGGAGAGAGGCCATTTAAAGGACTGGTGAGGGCTGGGGCCCTAGAGATGGTCCCCCAACCAGAAGGAGCTTGTGTGCTAAGGTCCCAGAGGAGATGAATGGCATATTCCTTGCCATGAAAAGGGGGAAATACAACACTTACCTTGTGAAGGTAAGTGAAGATAAAATGAGAACATGTATGACAGTGGTCAGGATGTGTCAGTGGCTGCAACAGGGGCTGCCAAAACAAGTTTACACTCATGCATGGGTATTTGTAAGGTTAAAGGCAAAGCGAGACCTTGGAACCAATTCAGTATTTCTTCGTTTCAGGGGTGGCGAGCGGTCCTGACCAGGTTATTTAATCTCCCTAAGCTGCACTCAACTCATCTTCAAAGTGGGGGCGCTGCTTTTCACTACCCTTCTGGTGGGTCTGAGAACAGTTCTGAGGCTCATCTCCGGTTCCCTGCTGCCTTTCCACCTCTCCCTATAATCCTGTTTGTAAGCCTACAGTTGTTCACGGGGGAAACAAAATACAAATTGGATTGAAAAGATTATTTCATGAAACTCAGAAGATGGAATTGGCTTTCTGTATATTTCCAGATAAAGAAATATATAAGAGAGCTGAGGGAAACCCATTGTGTCAGATAAGCTGCCTAGTCACAGCAGACAAGAATACTAACCAGATGCAAACGAACTCAGCTTAGCACAGATCTATACCCCTAGGTCGGGCTTCCATGGTGGCTCAGCTGGTAAAGAATCCACCTGCAATGTGGGAGACCTAGGTTTGATCCCTGGGTTGGGAAGAGCCCCTCGAGAAGGGAACGGCTATCCACTCCAGTATACCAGCCTGGAGAATTCCATGGACTAGAGTCCATGGGGTCCCAAAGAGGTGGATACGACTGAACGACTTTCATTTTCACTTTTCCCTAGGTTATATGAAATTAGTAGACTGTCCAGAACTCCTCCTTCACATTAATAACAACAACAAAAAAAATACTTTAAAAGGCTTTTTTGGTCAGGAAGAAATATCTCTTAACTATTCCATAGTCTGTTAAAGAAATCATAAATTTTAACTATAGTTTCTGAAAAACATGGTTTAAGTTAGCAAAATCTTTCAAAGATGAGTTCTAACAGACTAGATCACCTACACTGACTCAGGATTTTTAAGAAATAAACCAAACAATAGGTTATTGAACTCCAATTAACTAAAATGAAGTTCTCAACTTTCAAAGAAACATCATATGTCCACCTGTTGCCATGACAATGCCTGCGCCCAGCACCACTTACGATGGAACTGCCAAGGACAGGCAGTCTGCACGCGTGTTTTCTATACCACACGTGGGGAGCTAAACCTGTGAGGAGGGGAAGACGGATGGCAGGCGCCTTGACGAGCTCCTTGGTCCAGGAGCAGAGACGAGAAAGCTTATATCCATATGAGCGCATTAAGTCCTCACACATCCTGGACATCCTGTCTCCCAATCACACTTCCAAACATGGGACTCAAGCAAATGAAGCAACGGGAAAGCAAAAGGGAATTAAGCGGCTTTAAGGGCCGTGTTGTGATTCTGCCGTCACGGTCTTTCCTCAGCCGCGAGTGGCAGTGACTAAAGCAGCAGCTGCTCCTCAGTCTCCCCGAGTGAGCGGGAGCCGGCAGCACCCATGTGCATGTGAGAAAGAAAGAAAGCAGCCTCTCTATCGTGGCCAGAGGTTGGGGGAACCATCTGTTAGCACTGCGTCGTCTACTGAGAGCTAAGATACCTCTCTTCCATGCAGACTGCAGTGAAGATTAAATGTGATTATGTTTACAGAGTACCTGAAAAAATAATAATTGCTATTGTCAATAAACGTGTGTTCCCTTCTTTCCACTAGCATTCATGAAGCGGATACTTACTGTTGCTGAGTCCAGCTGCCCCGGCTGCCCCCCTGTGTACATCAAAGATCCAGAATAGTCAGAGCTTAGGCATTTGTTTTGGGGACCTCACATGCTCCAAGTGTGCTGGAGTCCTAAGGGGTTGGTTTTGTATTCTCTGTTTTACAAGGAATGTAAACTGGATAAGTTGATGCCCTATTGATGGGATGGGCAAAAGAAAACCAAAAACAGCCTTCTGTAGTTCTGGGACAAAACCTAAGTAAGAAAAAATAAGAACTAACCAATTTTTAATGAATCACATGGTAGGATGAATAATTCATAATTAATATCAATGTTGTGCCCAAATACTAATGTCTTCCATTAAGCTGCAGAGGTGAAGCTGAGAAGCTCAGAATGAGGACTGTTAGAAGGAAGCAGGGATGAACGTCCATTTGCTGTGCAATTCACACACACACACACACTCAAAACTATGCATATACGTGGCTCTGTGCATTTACATCATAACATGTAAGAGCTTGTATAATAAACCTGAGGCTAAAGCATATATTTAGTAATTAAATGAACAACATAAGCAGGCTGTACACATTTTCAGTACAGCAAAGTGCACTGAACGAGGGGACTGAGAAGGAAAGCTGCCACCCCGTCCCCCAGGGCTGCCTGCCTCTTCAGAGGTGGAAGTTTCAATTACCCATGCAAGAAACAGCCATTTGGATTAAACTCACAATTCACTACAAGGAAGAGGGAAGGAAACAGGCCAGGAATTGTGCCCTGACAATCTGATATGACAGCTCATGTCAGATTAGAAAGGTCATGCAATTTATTCCAAGTCATACAACTAATAATTATTACAGCAAGGACCCAGGTCTGTATGCACAAGATGTGTGATCTATCCACAAAATACCTGGAAATTTAGGCTTCTGGAGGCAAGTATAGTACAGATGTTAATCTTGAAAAAATGTTCTCATTCTGTTTAAACAACATACCCTAGAGAAGGTTTTCTTTTCTAAAATGTTAAAATGTCCAAAGGACTTCCCTGGTGGCTCAGATGGTAAAGAATTTGCCTGCAATGCAGGAGAACCAGGTTTGATCCCTGGATTGGGAAGATCCCTTGGAGAAGGAAATGGCAACCCAATCCAGTATTCTTGCCTGGAGAATCCCCATGGACAGAGGAGCCTGGTGGGCTACAGTCCATAGCGTCACAAAGAGTCAGACATGAATGAGCAACCAACACTTTCATTTTCAAAATGTCCAAAAGCTTTAGATTATACAATAAAACACTACAGAAAAACCAAGCTGATTTTAAGAAAATGAATGGCCATCCCATATACTGCTTGTTCTCAGGGCTTCCTCAGAAATACTGCAGAACTATAAAAACTACAAAAAAGCCATTCTACAGGAAGAATAATCACATACAATATTTCAGTGTAATTCCCCTTCTGCTGGCCTTTCTTAGAAATCACTGTACAAGTAATTAAGATGGGTCCATTGGAAAATGCTTATTAATGACCACCAAACTGTTTCAATAAGGCAGATAATACATATGACATGTTAGTAGATTCAGAGTTTGGTCAACCTCAGTTATACTTTCAAAAAGTTACTTTGGAATAAAATAGAGCCATTTGTGTTATTTCTGAAATCTCCTTTAGGCCCATAATGCATTTCTGTGCCTAGTCTTTGCTTTGGCACTTATACCAATTACATGGCCTTGTCAATTCCAGCAATACTGTGCAATACTTAGAATCCTTAATCCATTTTCTTCTCTAAAGCATCCAAAGTTACAAGATCATTTACATACATGTTTAGGATTGTTGAATGTGTATCTGGATGTTCTTGAAAGTTACTTTGGTTTTACATATGATTGCAAAGATGAATAGTTTTTAGTTCATGCAGTGAGAGAATCTGCCTGTCTGCTAGTTCCCATGAGTTGGTTCAACATTCTTACACCACCATTATTGGAATAATTCTTATTATAAAATAATGTTAAGTATTAACATTAAGCATCTCTTGAAATAATTGTTTCATCTTATTAACCTCAACATCTGTGTCATTAGTGCTATTTAAAATGTTTTAAAGCAATCTAAACTATATCAGAATCTTGGAAAACTTGCCTTTCGGTGGGAGTGTGAATGAGGTGACTCACAGTGGAGCTGAGTGGGCTCCTTCATCTTAGGGAAAGTTCTGTTAACTGATCACCTGTTAGCTCTGGGTGGTTACACTGAGATAACCAGCTGGCAGTATAACTAACCTCCAGCTGTTGCTTCCTACCATTTTAAACACCGGGTGTAGTTTCCACGAAAATCGTGAAAGCAAGAAGGCCATGCCCAGAAAGCCATATAGACTGTTTCACACTATTCCACTCAATAGTTTGAGAAAAGCATATGGCAGAACAAGTGGACAACTTCTGAAACAGAAATGAGAGTTCTAGAGTTAGATTTTAACTGATGGGCAATAGAGAAGAAAGCTAGAAAAAGTTGTTATTTTTATTGTTACCTTGAGGTTGTCAAATAATTTCAACTTCAAAAGTTACTTTTCTGATCAAAGTTGTCATTTGTCCTTTTCTAGCAACATCCATCAGAATCCCAGGGCGGGGATAACTTACGAAGAGAGGATACGCTGGAGGTGCCCCGAAGAAACTGGTGTAAGCCGTCTTCATCTTCGCTGGAGCTGACTATACTGTTCCTCATTTCTAGCATGGACAACTGAGTGCAAAGGCTGAGCTGGTGATCCAACTTTTTGATTTTCTGTAAAGCAAAGTTTTAAGATGTCTGAGCGCTATGGGACTTAGATCATAGCTTTCCTGTAAGTAGCATTTACTTTTCCTTGAAATAAGGAACTGTTGGTACATAGTGCCAAATAAATAGTAGCTATAATTTTTTATTATAAGCTATTACTGCAAATACATTATAAAAATTTAATATACTCACTGGACTATTTATTAATCTGAAAAATGCTAAGCACCAACCTAATTTGATAACTGCCTAGACAAGATAACTTGAAGAGTGCCCACACCCATACTCATAGTCCCTGGGGAACAGTACTTATGGAAACAATGTTTTGCAAGTTCTCTTCTGTAATCACTTAAACTTCTTTCTCAGCAAATGTGGGGAAATGAAGATCAAATTGCAAATTGTTGAAGATCCATACAGCTCTGAAATGCCTAACTGAATGGCCACAGGCTTCCATTCCTATACCTCTCTTGTCACTTATGGGCTTTCTGGAAAGGGATCAGGAGGATGTGCAAGACTGGAAGACACGGGGTTAAAATGCCAACCTCCTGCTTGCTGGGGTTGATCAGCATTTATCGGTCTGCCCTGCCTTTCCTGGCCTACACACATCGCCCTTAGTCCTCCGGCTCACTTATCATTTTCTTTAGATTCCTTGAAAGACATTTTATGAAGAGGACAGCACATCCTCACTACACATGAGGTGTCTGACATGTGCAGACACCTCACTAGGTCATGGGAAATGTAATAATTACATGGTATTTCCTCATTCTTGAGAAATGATCCTCTGAAGTGTCTCTCAATTATAAGCATCCCCACTTCATTTAACATAGAACTAATTCATGATTAGTTAATGAAAATTCAGAAAACTATACACTGCATAAAGGAGGGATACCTCACTCTACATATGTATTTAACAAAGTAAAAGGACTCAGAAAAATACATACTTTATCATTTAAGGTGGGATCATTCAACGAGTAGAGCTTGTTTGTAATGTCTTTTCCTATAAGATATCTAAATATTTCATACAGAAAAGGCTCTGATTCCAGAAAGTATGTTAATCTTTCTCTTGACCAGCATAAAAATCTGCAATTATCATCTGCAATAATGGTGACCTGCCAAAGAAACAGAAAGAAAAATGTATTTGAATTATGATGTCAGTAACTTGGGGCAAGGGAAGAGTGGAATAATTTAGTGGATATTATAGCAGTGTTTTATCATATTAGTTAAAATAAGATTCATAAACACAAGCTTCTATAAATATAACATTATGTTTAAAATCAAGCAGTCTTCCCAGTGTACAGTAAAGAACCTGTCTTCAGTGCAGGAGACATAAGAGACGCAGGTTCAATCCCTGGGTCGGGAAGATCCCCTGGAGGAGGGCGTGGCAGCCCACTCCAGCATTCTTGCCTGGAGAATCCGCATGGACCGAGGAGTCTGGTGGGCTATGGTCCATAAGGTCTCAAGAAGTCGGACATGACCAGAGCAACTGAGCACACAATCTGTAGACTACGTGAAGATAAAGTCTTCCAGTTTTGTTGTTCTGTTTTGTGAGCTCTGGGGATAGAAGACTGGCCTCCATGTCAATAGCACTGCTAGAGTGTACCAGACTGATGTCCCAATTGGGCATTCAATATGGCTAAATATTTCTTTACACCTGGATTATTATACTAGAGAATGAAAAAAGGAACTCATGTGAATTGATTTTAGGACCCAGATGGTCATTGATGAATAAGGCTAGTAAGGGTCCTTTTTTTGTTCCTTCTGTCATAGGCATTTCTTGTGTGTGAACTACCAAGGGTAGCACAATGGGGACACACACACAGATGCTCCAGCTAGCTCAGAACTGGGAAACCATGCTCTTTCCCTCAGTGTCGTTACATAAGAAAGTGGGTGAGCATTTTAATTGCACCGTGCAGAGCTCAAGTGTTCCTTAAAGAAATCCCCTCTCCAGAACGAGGAGCTCAGTGTGAGGACGCCCTTCCTCACACATAGGTCCTTCCATCAGCTTCACACGGCATGCCCATCACTGGACTCCAGCTCATCCACGGTCCATTCTCTCTCCTGAGCACCCTGAGGGCAGGGCTGTGCATCTTCATACTGAGTGCCTGGCTTCCAACACAGAGGGCTGCTCGCTGCAGATTTACTGATGAAGGCGTTAAGAGATGAACACACATACTACTGAAGGCACAGCGTGTTTTTATATCTTTAACAGTAAACCCAATGCCTTTCCAAGCGGGAGATTAATACAAGTTTTCAAAATGGACATGAAGTCATATCTGGGCTCAGAGCAAATGTTTCCAGAGGAGCTCTTTACCCTTTGTTAGTCAGAAAACTAAATGTATTTCAGATGACAAGATAGGTTTTCTCTCTACTAGGAGAGAAAACAGAAAACCCAGCTTCTCTCCTTGGGTCAGTGGCTGAAATCTGATCCTCGGTAAATCAGAGGGTTTGACTACAAAAGATAAGTCAGTATTCCCAGGAAAATAAAACTGTACTTATTTATTATGTTAAATAATATTAAAATACCATATTAAATAATAAATCTGCCAAACCAAACACATTGGCATTTAAGAAATGCATCAGCAGCTCTATGTTTCCATAAAACACTAAATTTCATTTATTCTTTCAACATATATTGTTAGGCTGGTAGTTTATGCCAGACCCAGTTCAATGCACTGAGGTTATCATGGTGAACAAGAAAGACAAGATCCTTGCCTTGTGATGCTTACATTAGTGGAGGAAGCTGATAATCAATGTGACAACCTCAGGTGGCAGTAAGTGTTTTGACAAACCACAGGACAGGGGAAAATGGAAGAATGACTAGGAAATTCCAGGTACACATAATGCCCTTCCTTTAAGAATGTATTGTATTTTGAAACATTTAACATGCTTTTATATCTATCATGTAAGCAGATCCTTAAAACTGCCTTTGAGATAAGACAGGTAACATTCTTCCTCATTTTCCAGATGCCAAATAAGCACCAAAAAATTTACATATGGACACATGTTAATGAACAGTAGAGTGAGCCCTTCTGACTTCCAGCCCCGACATGTTTTCCCACCAGGTGGGAAATCCTATATGTACTAGATTCAAGACAATTACCGAGAAAGCCATTTGGTGAAGTGAGCACAAGGCTGACTCACCATCAAGAATCCTCTGTGTAAAGAACAACTGAACATAATGTCATAAAGCCTACATTCTAGTGGAGGAAGCTGGTAATAAGTAAGGATATGTGACCAAGGACAAAAAGATTTATAGGAAGAGAAGTATAAGATCAAGAGACATAGAAGCCTGTCCCTAGGAGTTCCCAGAAACAGTAGGAGATGAGTATGTAAACAAAAGGCGACTGAATAACATTCTCGAGGAGTGAATATTTGTAGAGAAGGTGAGCATGGGGCACTCAGGATGACCCAGTCCTGCACCCAAGCATTGAAGAAAGGGTTAGGAGAGTTGAAGTCCCTTCATTCTGCAAAGGTGTCATCCATGCCTTTGGAAGATACAATTCATGCACAGTGGGGGAGGAAGTAAAGGAGAAGTTGGAAATCATCCAGGAAAAGAAGAAGCCATTGCACAGGTGATGTATTGCATATGCATTTAACTTTTTTTCCATCAATTTTAATAGCCTCAAGTTTTCCATGAGGCAAAAATACTTTTAATATGATATTATAGTTTGCTTAGAACCGTTGCTTAGAACTATTTTCAAAAATTGAAGTTTAGTTGATTTAGTGTTTCAGGTATATAGCAAAGGGATTTGTTTATACATATATATATATATATATCCTTTTTCAGATTCTTTTTCATTGTAGGTTATTATAAGGTTGAATACAGTTCCTTGTGGCATCAGATCAGGAAAGGAGTATATCAAGGTTGTATATTGTCACCCTGCTTATTTAACTCAGAGTACATCAAGCAAATGTTGGACTGGATGAAGAACAACATGGAATCAAGATTGCCTGGAGAAATGATATCAGATATGCGGATGACATCACCTTTATGGCAGAAAGTGAAGAAGAACTAAAGAGCATCTTGATGAAAGTGAAAGAGAAAAGTGAAAAAGTTGGCTTAAAACTCAACATTCAGAAAACTAAAATCATGGCATCTGGTCCCATCACTCCATGGCAAATAGATGGGGAAACAGTGACAGACTTTATTTTGGGGGGCTCCAAAATCACTGCAGATGGTGATTGCAGCCATGAAAGTAAAAGATGCTTACTCCTTGGAAGAAAAGTTATGACCAACCTAGACAGCATATTAAAAAGCAGAGACATTACTTTGCAAACAAAGGTCCATCTAGTCAAGGCTATGGTTTTTCCAGTGGTCATGTATAGATGTGAGAGTTGGACTATAAGGAAAGCTGAGCACCAAAGAATTGATGCTTTTGAACTGTGGTGTTGGAGAAGACTCTTGAGAGTCCCTTGGACAGCAAGGAGATCCAGCCAGTCCATCTTAAAGGAAATCAGTCCTGAATATTCATTGGAAGGACTGATGCTGAAGCTGAAAGTCCAATACTTTGGCCAGCTGATAGGAGGAACTGACTCATTTGAAAAGACCCTGATGCTAGAAAAGATTGAAGGTAGGAGAAGGTGATGACAGAGGATGAGATGGTTGGATGGCATCACCAACTCAATGGACATGGGTTTGGGTGGACTCTGGGAGTTGGTGATGGACAGGGAGGCCTGGCGTGCTGCAGTCCATGGGGTCGCAAAGAGTCAGACGTGATTGAGCAACTGAAGTGAACTTCTGCTGTCAAGCAAAGTGATTCAGTTATACATATATACATTCTTTTTTAATATTCCTTTCCATTACTGTTTATCATAGGATATTGAATATAGTTCCCTGTGCAATACAGTAGGGCCTTGCTGTTTACCCATTCTATACTTAATACCTTACATCTGCTAACCTGAAACTCCCACTTCACCCCAACTCCCTCCTCCATGCCAACCATAAATCTGTTTTCTATGTCTGTGAGTCTGTTTTGTAGATAGGTTCATTTGTGTCATATTTTAGGTTCCACACATAAGTGACATTATATGGTATTTGTCTTTGTCTTTCTGACTTACTTTACTTAGTTTGATAATCACTAGTTCCATTTATGGAACTATTTGAATATTGCTAATATTGCTAATATAACTAATGAATATTGCTATTTCATTCTTTTTTATGACTGAGTAATATTCCATTATATGTATGTACCACATCTTGATCCATCCATCTGTTGATGGACATTTAGGTTTCTTTTATGTCTTAGCTATTTTAAGTAGCGCTGCAAAGAACAATGGGGTGCTTGTATCTTTTTGACTTACAGCTCTGTATGGACAAATGCCCAGGAGTGGGATTGCTGGATCATATGGTAATTCTATATTTAGTTTTCTGAGGAACCTCCATACTGTTTTCTATGGTGGCTGCACCAACTTACATTCCCACCAACAGTGTAGGAGGGTTCTTTTTTCTCCACATCCTCTCCAGGCCATTCTGATCAGTGTGAGATGGTACCTCATTGTAGTTTTGATTTGCATTTCTCTAATAATTAGAGATGTTGAGCATCTATTCTTGTGCCTATTTGCCATCTGTATTTCTTCTTTGCAGAAATGTCTATTTAGGCATTCTGCTCATTTTTTCATTGGGCTTTTTGTTGTTGTCAAGTTGTATGAACTGTTTGTATATTTTGTAAATTAAGCCCTTGTTAGCTGCATCGTTTGCAAATATTTTCTCCCATTCTATAGGTTGTCTTTTCATTTTGTTGATGGTTTCCTTTGCTGTGCAAAAGCTTGTAAATTTGATTAGGCCCCATTTCTTTGTTTTGTTCTAATTTCTATTGCCTTGGGAGACTGACCTAAGAAAACATTGGTATGATTTATATCGGATAATGTTTTGTCTATGTTCTCTTCTAAGAGTTTTATGGTATTATGTCTTATGTTTAAGTCCTTAAGCCATTTTGAGTTTAACTTTGTGTACGTGAGAGCGTGTATTCTAACTTCATTAATTTACATGTGACTAGGCAATCATCTTTTATTAATGGTTGAAAACTACTTTAAACCTGTTTAAATTATTATTCAATTTAAATGTAGTAACAGTATTCATATAATAAGCTATGCATGCGTGCTAAGTCACTTCAGTTGTGTCCAACTCTTTGTGACCCTTCAGACCATAGCCCCCCTGGCTGTTCTGTCCATGGGATTATCCAGGCAAGAATACTGGAGTGGATTGCCATGCCCTTCTCCAGGGGATCTTCCCAATCCAGGGATGGAACCTGAGTCTTATGTCTCTTGCATTGATAGGAGGGTTCTTAACCACTAGTGACACCTGGGAAGTTGAGTCTTTCAAGTCCACAAGAGCAAGCATTTAGTTGGAAGCAGGTAGTTAGCATATTGACTGAGGGCATTTCACTTGATAGCTAATGCTTCATTTCTATCAAATAGACAGTTTACTTAATGATTTCCTGTCACAGCAGCCAAGTGAAACATATCTTTAATGAGGAATTTTTTGAAGCACCTAGGAATTCTTAAAGCTTCCATAAAGTACATTTGCTTTTTAGATTATTAGGGAATCTCAGCAGTGCCATGCTTGAGTTCTTGTGAATTTTACAGAAGAAATAAAAGCCTACACAGTAGTGGAAGACACAAAAGAATTTCTCTCAAGTAGAGAATTAGACAAAGCATTTGTAACCAGGTTTGCTGCAATTACTCAAGGTGTTGGATTAGTCCAAAACCAGTCCTACACCCTCACTTAATGAAGACTTTATCAAGAACCAGGGTGTCGGAGGGAAACGCTGAATGTGCTAGCATGGGAAATGGCAGTCTGACATTATGACTGACTGACTGTCCTCAGGGGAGAATTTATTATTTTCTTTGCATACTGTACAACGTTTCACACATGAAAATGTCCCAGAAGTGGTCCATTCAGCTAATTTTTATTGAGTTCTCATCCATACTGAAACACAACAGAGCCAAGGCTGGCAGATTAAATTGCTTTGCAACTTAACCCAAAGATTTACGTAACACTAAGAGAAGGTTTTATTTAAAAGCAGTTAAAACTCAGTGTTCCTTTATTTCACCAGAGCCTGGACATCTGCCTCCAAGACATTCTTTTTCTCTTAAAGTCAATAAAGGTTTGTTTTTCAAGCTTCACAGCACAGGATGTGCTATCGATTATGGGAAGGCAACAGCGGGAGGTAGAACCCAAAAGAAAAATGAAAATGGCAAAGCTCACTGGAGATGAAATGACTGTACAAAGAAGAAATAAGACACAAAACACTACTTCTGCCTTTTGTGATATTGATACTCAAGATTCTTCCAAGAGTTCTCAGAAGCAGCCTGGGTCTGTAAGTCCTAGCAGAGCACCAAGGGAGCAGCTGGATGTTTAGAGTTGGTGTATCAGCTCTGTCAATCTGCCTGTCATCATAATTACCGCACGTTCCTGAACAACACTCACTGTGTGATCTCAAGGGACAGTCGCCAATTCTACTGGCTTCCTTTCATCCTACTGGTGAATTCACTAGCACCCCTACCAAAGAATGAATTTAAAGATACAAAAATGCAAAGGAAGCAGCTCCTTGACAGAACACTTATAAGCATCCAGAGTTAGAGAAGAATGAAATTAGCAGGTAAAAGGGTGTGTGGGTGCAGAAGTCTGGACACTGACAATTTCAAGTGGCCTCTGCCATTGGCATAGAGAGTGAAAAGCTGATCCTAGGAGCACATGATGGCTTTCATCTGGGAACTCGCTTCAGGAAGAGGCAGTATACTCCTACACAGATGTGCGACAGCTATTTTTACTCTTGAGTATCCGCCAATAGGAACATTTGGTGAACAATCAAAACAGAATCTCTCCCGAGGGCTTACTCTGATGGGAGTCTTTTCCAACTGTACGGGACTTAGGCTCGATGGTGCCAGAGCAGTTTTTATCCATTGATCAATCAGCCACACCAGAGTCTGTGCAGAGAAAAGCTGACTAATGCTTGGGGAGGCTGAACCAATATCTCTCACCCCATTAGGGTACCTTGAGTTTGGTCATGTTTTTAGAAACATGAGAAGCAAATCAATCATGAGGACTATTTCTCAAATTGCCAAATCCCAATCCCCTGTCCTGAAGAAGCAGAAGAACTGTGATGAGTGGTAGAAAGTCCTTTGTTTGTTAATTACATATAATTTGTAGTCCGGTGTTAAAGACAGTACACGTTATGTCCCAGGGGCTACAGGCTGCTGGAAACGCAGGAGGTTCAGTCCCCTTCCTTTCCCCAAATGCTGGTCTCTTCAGGAGCCTATGAAATAGTTATTGTTTAAAATCACTTGCTACTATAAACAGAGAAATAGATACAGCGGATAAATGTTGGGCTTTGGAAGAAGAAACTGGAAGCAGGTCAGAGGAAAAGAGGGAGAGAGGAAGGAAGTGGCCCCGGACCAGTTTATAGATGGTGGTGATTAAAGATACTGTAAGAATAAATCTCAGTGCAGAGCTGACCCCAGAAAAACCCAAGGGAGTGTGTAAGTTAGAGGAGGCAGGATGTAGGATCTGCTTTTTCCTCCTGTATCTTTAGCTCAGCAAGCCTGGGGACAGCATTGCAGCCAGGTAGTAAATTTATATGAGACCCTCTAGTAAATGCACATAACTTTAACACATTGTGTGGTTACTCAGGTAGGGTAGGAGTGGGGCAGGCCTGAAACCATTGTAAATCCACTTAACTAGTGTCTGTGAATGTTCCCTTGTATCTCCATGTGGCGTCCCCAAGAGTGTGGCATCTCAAAATGAGACTCATATAAGACTTTGTCATCAAGAAACACTGATTTTTCCTCCGTCAGGTGGTAGCATCCCCTTCTACTCCATTTCCTACCTAAATGTTTACATTTACCCTCCTGCTCATAAGAAACCCTATTCTCAGGATACTTCCTTAATGCCGTTTATCTAAAGGCTCAGACTAAAGGAAACTCTCCATTTTCTTGGTTACTTTCCTGACAATACTGAGGGGAATAAAATAGGACAGCTGGACATTTACAGGAAGAATCAGAACAAAGTATCACAAATGGAGCTTTTTTTTTTCCCTAAAGATACTAAAAGAACCAGGCTGAGTACTTCAAATTATTCTAACTGTAAAGAACTTCATTCTTTGCTGTTAAACATATTCATTACATTTAAAAGAGTACAGTGGTTAATTTTTTTTTCATGAGGATTAACAAAATAGGTTCTCTAGGGCAAAATCAGTTTCTTGCTTTTCCCCAGTAAAAGTAACCAATTACATGTTTTAAGTACACTGATTATCCATAACTGACCTTTTCCTTTTTTTTTTTTTTTCGTAACAAAAGCATTAGATGTTCTCTATGGAAAAATTAGAAAAATTCAACTAAACAAAAAGGAAGAAAACAATCAAACTTACAATTCAGAAATAAATGTTAACATAATGGCTAAATCAGGATATATCTTTCTAGACCTCTTCTTGTGTACCTATACACACCACTTTCAGTTTTACAAGGAACATCCCTGATGGTCCGGTAGTTAGGAATCTGCCTGCCAGTGCACGGGACACAGGTTTGATCCCTGGTTCAGGAAGATCCCACATGCTACAAAGCAACTAAGCCCTTGCTACAAGAGAAGCCACCTCAACAAGAAGCCTACACACCACACTGAAGACTAACTCCCATTCTCTGCAACTGGACCAAAGCAGGATTGCCAAAAATAAATTTTAAAAAATTTTTGCAAAAATGGGATCATACTATATATACCATATGGTAATCTCTTTTTTCAATAAATCATGGCCACTTTCCCATCCATACCCTTTGGATTTTGAATACGACATTAACTAGTTTCAAAATTCTTAAGAATCATGCCAAAACATACCTGGAATTTTTCACCTTTGTGCATCTGGGTTGATCTAAATTCAGGAGAATCTATAAAGGCACAGGGGTAAATGTTATGCAGAAAATGTCCTCGATAGGAAACCTTCATTCTGATAACAGAAATTAGTGTTAATAAATGCATAATAATTCACACATATCATGACAAGCTTTAAAATCTCCATAATCTTATGGGTTTTTTATTTTGTAAAAACTTAAAGACCCCACAGGAGACTGACATAATTAAAAAGCACTTCCCGAGGCACAAGTATTAGTTTCAAAATAAGTTTCACTAACAACAAGGGGAAAAAAGTGTCCATATTGAAGCAGACATGTCTAATTTCATCAGTGTCTAGCTGGAGTGACCATATAACTCATTATTCAAACTGGTACACTTCTGAGCAAGAACAGACACTGCTATCTCCCCAGGAGACTGATATTCCTAGAAGTTGCATGTTTGTGATATTCAAAAAAATAAGCAAGTCGCCTCTAAAACACGCATAAGCTTCTTAAATTTTAATACCCAATTTAACCCTATTCCAGTTCTGCCTCATTAAACTTACTAAAAAGGTGAAAACTATTCACAAGTAAAAATCTTGATAGCAACATGATTCATGGAGATAAATCCTACATAACTTGACCACATTATTCTGTAACATTCTATAATGCAGTTGTCCAGATGAAAATTCACCTCCATGACCACTTACTCCATTAGTTGGCAACATTCCCTTTCATTCATTTCCTACCCAGAGGCCAGAAGAGTCCAGGTGAACAAGGCATTTTGATTTCCATAGAGCACTTACTTTCCTTTCAGGAGAATACTCAGACGGTCGTCAACTGAGGTTAGATCCTCCACAGCATAGCTCTCGCCCTTTTTCAATGTTTGGATCATGCAAAACTGTCCAGTTAATCTTCTGAACAAATCTGGAGACACACGGAGGGGTTCAAACAATCGCCGGTAGATGCTTCTGAGTTCCTTTTCGATCTTTACCTGAAAGGAAGCAGTGACCAAATGCCACATCTCATGCAGCAACCTCGAAACATCAGCTACTGTGGTCTAAATACAGTTTGGGGAATAAACGGATCTGCAACACATGCTATCACCCTTCTATATTTTGGTCAGTGGAATCTGACACCGACAGTAAGTGGTGATGTAAGTTTAGATGCTAAAAGGGCACTTTTGCAGTTAAGCCGAACTCTGAGAGCATATGGTGAAGATCTGCACTGTTGATTACATCTCTTTCTATGCACTATCAAGCAGCCGTGGCAGTTCTGACTGTTGTCACAGTATTTACCTTGCCCATCTTAGCATTTTCTATAAATAACATATTAATAAAAGCTTTTCATTTGAGAACATTTTTGTTTCACTAACTTTGAAATAGCAAGGAAATAAGTATATAAATTAGGAATCAACTTGGAAACAAATTTATTAAGATTGATGCATTAAATGTTTTACTTATGTGCAATTATTATCTAGTGAGTTAATACAGGAAATCAAATATCCTTAGCTGTAATTGCTACTTCTCATGTATTTATTCCAAACCAAAGTGAAGAATGTAAAATTCAAATGGCTCAGTCGCCTCTGTTGTCAGACTATCCAAGGCCCAAATCAAGCCTATCCGTGTGCCCAGCATTAGTCTGGGAAATCTGTACTGCATGCAAATGAACCTTGATGTTCAAGTGATCATCCATCTCAATGAAATCTGTGGCAGCTATGCCATGAAGCTACAGACCCAGGAGATCAGGGCTGCTCAGATGTCACCGTAGCCTTTCTGACACTCTTATTTCCTGCTGTTTCATTTTAATGAAGAATTAGCATTTATATTTTTCAAAAAGATAGGCTTATAGCCCGAGAAGAAACAAAAGCACAGATACTGAGTGATTTACTTCCTCGGTGGCACTATTACATCAACAGCAACTCCTGAAACTTACGTTCAGAATGTGGGATTCTAGGAAGTTCTGATATTGAGAAGCTGAAATCCTTATTATTACTATCATCTACCTCTCCACTCCAGAGCTTTCATAATGAGTGTCTCATTAATTCACAGATCTGTCTCACTTTCAGCATGCACACTAGCCAGTGTGGCACAATGATCATATGAACTGAAAAACTGACTTAAATTCATAATCTGCTCATCCTGCCAGCCTTAGCTCAAGTCCCAGTTCTTCCATGAAATCCTCTAAATTCCTCTCTTTGAAAGCATTCACTTATCAAAGGTTTTCTTGAGCACCAGTTATGTGCCAGCCATGCTTGGCAGGAACAGGGAACACAACAATAAGTGTGGTAGATGATCCTATTGTTTGCAGCTCCTGGCTGCTTCCACCCTTGAAAGAGGATCGTATATCCTCTTAACCCATCCTATTCCCACATCATCAGGCTTGGTCATGTCAGTTGCTCTGGCAAGCAGAATTGATATATGCTCCTCCTGAGCAGAAGTTTTAAGAAACAATAAGTGTTTCTTTTGTTCTCTTATATGCTTCTCTCTGCCATGACAATGCTTGTCCAAATAGAACCTCTGCTTCAGTAGAGATCCTGAAATGAAGACACATGGAGAAATGAAGAACTGCAGCTGTACCCAGCTGCCACAGTCCACATATTAGGTGAGTGAAGAAAAAACTTGCTGCTGTTATATGGCATGAAGACTTTCAGACTGTTACACAGCGTAACGTAGTGAAAAGTAACTAATACAGTAAGTAAAACAGAGTGGGTTACAATGTTTGAGGAGTTCACAATCTAGTGGAATGTCTATGACACATGTCAATCTGTATCAGGGAAATTGTAATTTCCTATGAATTGTCATTTCTAATAGTTTTCTATGTGCATGTCTGGCCTTGAACACAAGATTAGAGCAAGCATGTTATCTTTTGCTCTACTGAATATTTGTATGTGCTTTGGACAGTCAACAGTAAACAAATAGCTATGGAGTGATTGCTACAGGCCATGCTATTTTCCTTTTCTGTTAGCATCAATTTGTTCTTGGTATGACCAAGGAAACACAGCAAGATAAACTGGAGTGGAAAAGAAAAAGTTAAATATTACTGTTTTCATTACAATTCACTGAAAATGGTGATCTCCTTAAATGTATTTTGGACATAGGAAAAAAAAGCTATTACATTTAAAAACTAGCTAAAACATAACATGAGCTATTTGTAAATCATTAGTGTGTTCCTGAAAGTTGTCTATGAGCACTTTATTTTACAACTAGGCAAAGATATTACCAAATGATATTTGAATATCAATAGGCAGAAGAAATAATGAACTTAAATGACTAAAAAGAGAGAATACCGTCATGTTCTCTAATGTCTAAATTGCCCTAATGATTAAAAATGTTTTAAAAACTCATTTGTGGAACAAATTTCATGATATTCAAATATTGCATTTTCAGGCATATATACACAAAAAGTCTCCAGAAAAATGATATTAAAGGGCCTAAGGATATTAGATGCTCATTCTCAAATATGAACAAAGTACTTGATTAGCTTTAAAATCTCTTATTAATTGTTAGTAATTACCGGTCTTTTCTTGTACAAAAGATATGAAAGATGCAAAATGTTGATCCCCAGGAACACTGAATTCCAGATCATGATATCCAAGGCACATCGGTAGAGAGTGGCCCAGACAACATAAAGGGCACATCCTGTAATGAAGTAGGCATGTTACATGTCTTGTAGCTTAATAAGCTTGTCTTGTAGCTTCAGCATGTAGCTTAATACATTTGTCATCCTCTGTATATAAAATAAACCAAACACATCTTGGAAATACCTGTCAAATATCACTTTGTTACATTTTGGTTTTTGTTTGATTATCCAAACCAAACCAAACCAAACAACATGTTGTTGCAGAAAACTTGTAAAGTATAAAAATCATTTTTAAAAGGAGAACAGAACCTCATAATTTTACTACTTAAAAGATAGCTACTGTTGATAGTTAATACTGATTCACAGTTTTTCTGTATTTTTAACTGATGGCAAACCTAATGAATCCACAGTTTAAAACTTACTTTTTTACTTATTGCAGTGATTTTCTCATTTCATTAAACCACTTCATATACATAGTTTTTACTGATTGTAACTGATAAACCATAATTTATTTAACTATCTCCCTGCTAGTGGACAGGTGAAACATTTTGCCTGTAATTAAAAAAAAAATATTTATTTTGGCTGCATTAGGTCTTAGTTGTGGCATGCAGGATCTATTTCCCTGACCAGGGATGAAACCCAAGCCCCTTGCACTGGGAGTGCAGAGTCTTAGTTACTGCACCACCAGGGAAGTCCCTGTAATTTTTTATAAAAGCAACTTTATATATAAAAATGTATCTGTTCTATGACTACTTGATTAGGGTGGATGACCCAACAGTGAGCTAAGGGAATAAGCTTTATAGCCTCTGAAGACATTAAAGGACTGTTTTCCAAAAGATTTGTGCAAATATGCAGTTTCTTTTGATTGGTTTTATGATGGGAGAATCAGTATGTATTTTAAATTTAAAATTATCTGTATCAGTTATCAATACAAATATATCAACAGCATATACACACGGAAAAACTAAATCTTCCACTTTTAAAAAGTTATTCACTTGCAATTTTAAAATTTCATTAAAATGATGTGGGGCACCTGAATAATAACCCAAAGTAAAAATTTTAATGTTCTTTCGATAATATTGCGTAGCACATAAGACATGTAAAATCTTATTACTTAAAGGAGACAGGGTAACAAAATGGAAGGACTGACGGGGAAGCTGGAGGACCTGAATCATAGTCCTGGTTTGGCTAGTTTTCTCTGGTCTTAACCTTGGATGATGCATTTGATTTCTCCAAGGCCTCAGTTGCTTTCTTTCTTCAGTGTTGCAGATCTCCCTTGGTCTGTTCCACCTCCAAAGCTCTGTCTTAAAAGTCAAAATTAGCTTTGCTTTTTTTATAGGGCGTGGTTTTATTTCTTCCCTCAATACTCTGTTCCTCCTGCTATAATCCTACCTGACCCAGAGGTAACAGCCTCAGAAGCCCTACCTTCCAGCCATCCTTCCAGCACTTTCTTTGACCCTTCCTTGTCGTTCTAATATATTTCAGGCACAGTGAGCTACTTTTCATCCTCCCTCAATGTGCTGGGTCTCCCCCTCCTCTCCTTGTACCTGGATGCCCCACACACGCACACTCAGAGGAATCCTGTTCATCGTCTCTGCAGTGCACTCTGGTCTGCTCTCCTGCTGAGCCCAGCACCTTGTCCGTTTCTCCCTGGCACTGGAATGCCCACCTGCATCACAGCATCTGGTGTGTCCTGTGTGACTGCCCACCTGTTTCTCTCTGGCCCCCCAAAGAGTGTCTTTCTCAAGGATGCAGACTTCATTGTTCACTTTCTGTCTGACATTTTACAGGTGCTCAAAAATGCATCTGAATAAATGAATCACCAGGGACATAATCACATAGAGAGTAACTTGTTCAGAATCACTGGCTAAAATGGTAAATTCATCTGTTTTAGCATTTTGATATGGATTAATTTAACTTCCTTCATCGGGGTTAACAGAGTATCTCCCTAAAATTTTATTTAAACTATTGTGTAAACACCTATTCAAATAATGATAGTTAAAACTATATTTACTATATGCCAGGCACTATTGTAAGTCAAATATCACATACACACACACTCATAAACACTCACCTAATTCTCAAACCCCAGGAAGTGGTATTATTTTTACCCTTATTTGACACCTGGGGAAACTGAGCTATAGAAAGATTATTGCCCCAACTATTGCCCAGCTATTAATAACAGTTGGCAAGTACGGGAACCAGGATTTTAATAAGAGTCTGGCTCCAAAGTTTGCACTCTTACACACAAATGGATTTCTGATGTCTGGAAAATCTAAACAACATATGAACATGTTGTTAGTTTTATCTAAAGTACAAAATGGTGAAGGCCTATGTTCTAACTTACTCAATGTACTGCTAATTTGCTAATGAAGGCTCATATTTTTGGTATGCTATAGACCCTCCTCAATACAAAGCCCATCAGATGCAAGTTATAGGAAAATTCTATATAACATCAGTTAAGTATCTTACCTACAGCTAACATCCCCCTAAGAAGTATCATATGAAGGTGAAGTGTAGTTGGAATAACCAATCCAATTGCGAAAAAAATATTTGCTACATGAAAAACTAGATGATGTATCTCTCTCCAGTTTTCACAAGTGGTCTCATTGGAAGGCACAGGTAGGAGTCTTTCTAACTCAGGTGTAAAACCTATTGCAGTTGCTTCTGCCAGTGGGCTGGACTTAGTATAATTCATCTTGAAAATTCCTATAAAAATGAAAAAATGAAAGGACAGTCAAAAAATGACAGCTGTATCTTATCACCCACCCCTATGGGTATTATACTATACCAAAATCATTTCTGTGAACTAGATGTTGGTAAATAGACTTGTCTGGTGCTTATGAATTAGACAGACCTAGGTTCAAATTCCCACTCTGTCACATATTAAATGTATCCATTTTCTTATCTGTTAATGATGATAATACTTCACTGACTTTATGATGAAATATATAAAATACTTAGGATAGTGCATAACTATTCCCTGATGTATATACCTATACATATCTACATTTATCTATTAATATGTTTGTATCTAAACATACTTGGTGGGGTAGAGAGGAAGGAGGGATTTAACTAGCCTATAAATAATCACCAATATTCATAAACCACAGCAATTAAAAAGTTATTTAATATAGTTTTCTATTATGCTGCCACTAGAGACACTGAATCCAAACACAGGAAAAATAACTAGAAAATGGGTTTTTTGAATACTTTGAAAAATTAACACCTTGTTTTTTACTATTTGAAGGCTTAGGATGCTTGGTTATTTAGTTGCTAAGTCGTGTCTGACTCTTTGTAACCCCATGGACTGCAGCCTGTCAGGCTCCTATGCCCATGTAATTTTTCAGGCAAGAAAATGGGAGTAGCATGACATTTCCTACTCCAGGGGATGTTCCTGACCTAGGGATCAAACCTGCATTTTTTGCATCTCCTGCACTGGCAGGTGGATTCTTTACCACTAATGCCGTTGTTAATCACTATAGCATACATACGTATGTGCTACATTATCTTGTTGTTCAGCCGCTAAGTCACATCTGACTCTTTGTGACCCCTTGCACTGTAGCACTCCAGTCTCCTCTGTCCTCCACTATCTCTGGTTTTGCTCAAATTCACGTCCATTGAGTCGGTGATGCTGTCTAACCAGCTCATCCTCTACTGCCCCCTTCTCCTTTTGCCTTCAATCTTTCCCAGCATCAGGGTCTTTCCAGTCAGTCAGCTCTTCCCATCAGGTGGCCAAAGTATTGGCGCTTCAGGTTCAGTATCAGTCCTTTCAAGGAATATTCAGGGTAGATTTCCTTGAAGATTGACCGCTTTGATCTCCTTGCAGACCAAGAGACTCTGAGGAGTCTCCTCCAGCACCACAATTCAAAACCATCAATTCATTGGAGCTCAGCCTTCTTCATGGACCAACTCTCACATCCATACATGACTACTGGAAAAACCATAGCTTTGACTAGATGGACCTTTGTCCGCAATGTGATGTCTCTGCTTTTTACTGCACTGTCTAGGTTGGTCATAACTTCCCTTCTAAGGAGCAATTTCTTTTGATCTCTTTTAATTTCATGGCTGCAGTCACCATCTGCAGTGATTTTGGAGCCCAAGAAAATAAGATCTGTCACTGCTTCCACTTTTCCCCCCTCTATTTGCTATGAAGTTATGGAACCAGATGCCATGATGTTCGTTTCTTGAATGTTGAATTTTAAGCCTGCTTTTTCACTCTTCTCTTTCACCCTCATCATGAGGCTCTTTAGTTCCTCTATATTTTCTGCCATTAAAGTCATACCATCTGCATATCTGAGGTTGTTGATATTTCTCCTGGAGATCTTGATTCCAGCATGTGATTCATCCAGCCTGGCATTTCATATGAGGTACTTTGCATATAAGTTAAATAAGCAGGGTGACAATATACAGCTTTGATGTATTCCTTTCCCAAATTTGAACCATGTCTGGTTCTAACTGTTGCTTCTTCAGCTGCATACAGGTTTCTCAGGAGACAGGGAAGATGGTTTGGTATTTCCATCTCTTGAAGAATTTTCCATAGTTTGTTGTCATCCATACAGTCAAAGGCTTTAGCGCAGTCAATGCAACAAAAGTAGATGTTTTTCTGGAACTCCCTTGCTTTCTCCATGATTCCAGTGAATGTTGGCAATTTGATCTCTGGTTCCCTTGCCTCTTTGAAACCCAGCTTGTGTATCTAGAAGTCCTTGGTTCACATACTGCTGGTACCTAGCTTGAAGAATTTTGAGTATAACCTTGTAAACATGTGAAATGAATGCAGCTGTACAACAGTTTGAACATTCTTTGCTGTGCTGTGCTCAGTCACTCAGTGTCTGACTCTCTGCAACCCCATGGACTGTAGCCCACCAGGCTCCTCTGTGCATGGGGATTCTCCAGGCAAGAACACTGGAACAGGTTACCATGCCCTCCTCCAGAGGGTATTCCCAACCCAGGGATCCAACCCAGGTTACCCACACTGCAGGTGGATTCTTTACTGTCTGAACCACAAGGGAAGTCCAAACATACTTTGGCAATGCCCTTCTTTGGGTTTGGAGTGAAAACTGACCTTTACCTCTCCTGTGGCCATTGCTGAGTTTTCAAAAACTGCTGAAATACTGAGTAGAGCACTTAAACAGCACTATCTTTTAGGATCTTAAATAACTCAGCTGAAATTCTGTCACCTCCACTAGCTTTGTTTGTAGTAATGCTTTGTATAGACCCAGTTGACGTCACATTCCAGGATGTCTGGCTCTAGGTGAGTGACCACACCAGTGTGGTTATCCAGGCCATTAAGACCTTTTCTGTAATGTTCTTCTGTGTATTCTTGCATCTCTTCTGCTTCTGTTAGGTCCTTACTGATTCAGCCCTTTATGTGCCTACCATTGCATGAAAGCTGGAATCAAGATTGCCGGGAGAAATATCAATAACCTCAGATACGCAAATGACACCACCCTTATGGCAGAAAGTGAAGAGGCACTAAAGAGCCTCTTGATGAAAGTAAAGAGGAGAGTGAAAAAGTTGGCTTAAAGCTCAACATTCAGAAAACTAAGATAATGGCATCTGGTTCCATCACTCCATGTCAAATAGATGGAGAAACAATGGAAACACTGATAGACTTCCTTTTCTTGGGCTCCAAAATCACTGCAGATGGGACTGCAGCCATGAAATCAAAAGACTCTTGCTCCTTGAAAGAAAAGCTATGACCAACCTAGACAGTATATTAAAAATCAGAGATATTACTTTGCCAACAAAGGTCCATCTAGTCAAAGCTATGGTTTTTCCAGTAGTCATGTATGGATGTAAGAGTTGGACCATAAAGAAAACTGAGTGCTGAAGAATTGATGCTTTTGAACTGTGGTGTTGGAGGAGACTCTTGAGCGTCCCTTGGACCTCAAGGAGATCAAACCAGTCAGTCCTAAAGGAAATTCATTTCAGTTCAGTCGCTCAGTCATGTCCGACTCTTTGTGACCCCATGAACTGCAGCACGCCAGGCCTTCCTGTCCATCACCAACTCCCAGAGTCCACCCAAACCCATGTCCATTGACTTGGTGATGCTATCCAACCATCTCATCCTCTGTCATCACCTTCTCCTCCTGCCCTCAGTCTTTCCCAGCATCAGGGTCTTTTCAAATGAGTCAGCTCTTCGCATCAGGTGGCCAAAGTATTGGACTTTCAGCTTCAGCATCAATCCTTCCAATGAATATTCAGGACTGATCTCCTTTAGGATTGACTGGTTGGATCTCCTTGCAGTTCGAGAGACTCTCAAAGTCCTTTCCAACACCACAGTTCAAAAGCATCAATTCTTCTGTGCTCAGCTTTCTTTATAGTCCAACTCTCACATCCATACATGACTACTGGAAAAACCACAGCCTTGACTAGACAGACCTTTGTTGACAAAGTAATGTTTCTGCTTTTCAATATGCTGTCTAGGTTGGTCATAACTTTCCTTCCAAGGAGTAAGCATCTTTTAATTTCATGGCTGCAGTCACCATCTGCAGTGATTTTGGAGCCCAAAAAGATAAAGTCAGCCTCTGTTTCCACTGTTTCCCCATCTATTTGTCATGGAGTGATGGGACCAGATGCCATGATCTTAGTTTTCTGAATGTTGAGCTTTAAGCCAACTTTTTCCCTCTCTTCCGTCACTTTCATCAAGAGGCCCTCTAGTTCTTTTTTGCTTTCTGCCATAAGGGTGGTGTCATCTGCATATCTGAGGTTATTGATATTTCTCCCGGCAATCTTGATTTCAGCTTGTGCTTCCTCCAGCCCAGTGTTTCTCATGATGTACTCTGCATATAAGTTAAATAAGCAGGGTGACAATATACAGTCTTGATGTACTCCTTTTCCTATTTGGAACCGGTATGTTGTTCCATGTCCTGATTATTCATTGGAAGGACTGATGCAGAAGCTGAAGCTCCAATACTTTGGCCACCTGATGCGAAGAACTGACTCACTAGAAAATACCCTAATGCTGGGAAAGATTGAAGGCAGAAGGAGAAGGGGACAACAGAGGATGAGATGGTTGGATGGCATAACTGACTCGATGGACGTGAGTTTGAGCAAGCTCCAGGGGTTGGTGATGGACAGAGAAGCCTGGCAAGCTGCAGTCCATGGGGTCGCAGAGTTGGACATGACTGGAGTGACTGAACTTGCATGAAATATTCCCTTAATATCTCCAATTTTCTTGAAGAGATCTCTAATCTTTCTTATTCTGTTTTCCTCTATTTCTCTGCATTGTTCATTTAAGAAGGCTTTTTTTAATCTTGCTTTGCTATTCTCTGGAACTGTTGTTCAGTTGGGCATATCTTTCCCTTTCTCCTTTCCCTTTTGCTCCTCTTCTTTCCTTAGCTGTTTGAAAAGCCTCCTCAGAATACCACTTTGCCATCTTGCATTTCTCCTTCTCTGGGATGGTTTTGGTCCCTGCCTCCTGGACAGTGTTACGAACCTCCATCCACAGCTCTTCAGGGACTCCGTCTACCAGACCTAAACCCTTGACTCTATTTGCCACTTCCACTGTATAATCATAAGGGATCTGATTTAGGTCATACCTGAATGGCCTAGTGGTTTTGCCTACTTTCTTCAACTTAAGCCTGAATTTTGCAATAGGGAGCTCATGATCTGAGCTCCAGGTCTTGTTTTTGCTGAATATATACAGCATCTCCATCTCTGACTGCAAAGAACATAATCAGTCTGATTTTGGTA